ATGAGCACAATTAAGTGTTCTGGAATTCCCATTCTTTGCAATGTTATCCATAATTTGTTATGATCCACACAGTTGAATGCCTTTGCATAGTCAATAAAACCCAGGCAAACATCTTTCTGGTATTCTCCACTTTCAGCCAAGATCTATCTGACATCAGCATTGATATCCTTCAATCCACGTCCTCTTCTGAATCCATTTTTAATTTCTTGCAGTTCCCTATCAATGTACTACTGCAACAGTTTTTGAATGATCTTCATCAAAATTTTACACGCATGTGATATTAATGATATTGTTCAATAATTTCAACATTCTGTTGGATCACCTTTCTTTGGAATGGGCATGTATGTGGATCTTCTCCAGTCGATTGGCCAGGTAGCTGTCTTCCAAATTTCTTGGCATAGACAAGTGGGAACTTCCAGCACTGCATCCAGAACCCTTAAGACTGTATCACACAAAGAATGAACCCTAATGTAAGCTATGGACTTTAGTTAATACAGTGAAAACTGTGAGGGCTGGAACTCAACTGGACTGCCTTGTTTTTCTAGGTCTCACAAGTTTTCCACCTTTGACAAGGTGCAGCTTACCACTTTTATATCACTCTCTATTAGTGGAAAATATTTGAATTTTCCTTCTCTGACAGGTTTCTGCCTTACACAGTTTCCACCTTTGGCAGGTTTTACTGTAATAATGTATCAACAGTGGTTCATCAATTGTAACAAAGGTACCACAGGAATGCAAAATATTAATACAGGAGAAGCAGTATGTAGGCTGAGGGGTTATATGGGAGCTATCTGTGCTTTCTGCACAATTTTTCTGTAACCCTAAAGCTGCTCTAAAAAATAGTGTATTAAAATAAATAAATAAAAATAAGTGTGGCTTCTCCCTCTGGTCACTCTCTCTCCAAAGGTTTCTAACTCTTGTCTGTGCCCAATAGCTTTGGCATTTGGTGAAGCCTGTGCACTTGGTTTCAGAATGTTTTTAAATATGTCAAATAAAAACAAGTCCAGGCCTAGAAAAGGAGAGACTTGATTGAAAAAGACTACTGCAATAGCGTGAGGGGGAACTATTGGAATAGGCAGTACAAACTGACGTTAAGATCTGCAAGAGTCCAGAGGTCAACCAGAAAAGGCTTGTCTTTTATGTTGTTGTTGGGTGCCGTCGAGTTGATTTTCAACTCATGGTGATCCCATGTGACGGAGTAGAGCTGCCCCATAGCTTTTTCTAGGTTGTCATCTTCACAGGAGCAGGTCTTCGGGTGTTTTTCCCACAGAGCCGCTGAGTGGGTTTGAAGTGCCAACCTTCTGATTAGCAGCCTAGCACTTAATCACTGTGCCACAGGGACTCCTTTAGAGAGGAGTAAACAAGTTAGAAAGAATTGGGTGTGGGGCCTGGAATAAAGGACAATGAAGAACACCAAAGACACAAGGAAAGTATTAGCCCAGGAGACAGAAAGGGCCACATAAACCAGAGACTGCATCAGCCTGAGACCAGAAGAACTAGATGGTGCCTGGCTACCACTAATGACTGCCC